AATGAATTCCCGAACCCCCATTTTAAAAAAAAAAAAAAAAAAAAAAAAAAACTTCTGTCGGTAGTTTTTACTTTTGTATTTAGTACATTGTCGGTAGTTTTTAATTTAAATAAATTTAAATTTTAAGTAATACTATTTAAATATATCTTAAACAAATACATAGTTCATTTAAAATAAATCGTTTATGTAATTTAATTTTATAATAAAAATTAACCTATTTAGTAATTCTAGACTATCATATAATTATAAACTATTATGTATAATAAATTTATTGACTTTTATGATTTTATTTATTTTTATAATAAATAACGACACTGACTTGTAAAAATTTAAAAGTGATTTTTATATATATAAAGTTATATATCTTTAAAAAAAATTATAAAAAAAAGTGCCCTCCTATTTAACCATGTTTATGTTTAGTTTTAGGTTAAAAATTTTCTGTTAACAAATTTCATCCGATATATATAATGATTCATTTTCAAACAATATTTTCATTATTCATATATTTTATTTTCTTAGTTTTTTCGTAAAATCTATTTGAAATACATAAATAGATTTTAATTTTTGTTGATTTTTTTTATAAAAAAAATCACAACAACAAAATAGTAATAATCGAATTTGAGTCATTACATACCTAATCAATTTTCATACTACTAAACTACACCTTGATTTAAGTTAATTGAAGCCATATCGAGTTAACATAATATGAATTTTATTATATCTCTTCCAAGCATCATACAAAGATTCAACGTCTCTTTCATACAAAGTTGTTTTCTCACTTTTTGTCTTTAGGAACATTGAATTAGGAAAAATCTTGGTGAAGAACCTTGCTTTAAAGTCATCCCATGTGTTGATACTTCTTATAAGCGTAGATTGCATCCCTACCTTGAACCTTGGCGTTGTTTCTAAGAGAGAAGGGAAATAAGCACAATTATAACGTCATCACCAATTTCATTTATGCAAACAATGCTACATATTTCCAAAAAGCTAAATAATGTATCAATGTTCGGATCATTATCTTTATTATCTTAAGGCTTGTGCAGACTGCAGAGTCCTCGCGATTTAGTTTTTTTTTTTTATATTTCTGAATGTAATTTTTAAAATAAAGTTTATCATTATCATCTTTATTATTATTATTATTATCGAGATTGTCGCTAATAAAATACTTTTACACGTTATTTATTGTTGTTATCACACAAGCATCTTCTTTATTTTGTTCAGATTAAAAAAATTAAAGGAATATATATATATATATATATATATGTATATATATATATATAAAATAAGGTAATTAAGTCTTATCAGTAGTATATTTTTTTCTTAGTATTCTGATTATTATAATAATATATTTTCTGTTTCCTTTTATTGAAAAAAAAAAATACATGACTCTTACATAATTTTTTTTTCTTTTATATTATTAAGAAACTAGTCGGGGATAGGAAGAACATATTTTTCATCTTTCCTTCCTTTCCTTTTGCTTAGCTTCTTTCTCTTTTCACCAATTCTAAACTTAGCTTTTAATTTTAATCAGACAGAGAACATTTAAAGTGGGTTTATAAGTTGGTTCTATTAACTAATCTAAGAAATAAGGATAAGATTTTAATTTTCAGGCTGGTTGGTTAACTAAGAATGACACAACGAAAGAAGAAAAATTTGTGTGATTGGTATTGTTGCCTCCCATAACATAGTTTATTATGCTTAGTGCAGATGATATGCATGTGCCTTTTATTAGGTGTTAGTTTTATTGTTTATTTTTTCCAATGATAAAAAAAGTTGTTTGCAAATATAAGTCGCCCATATATATATATATATATATATATATAAAAGTTAATCACTTATATAATAATAGTGTAATGTTTTTTTACATTAACAACTAATTATATATTTTAATTGTGTTATGTCATTATTAAAAGTAAATGTATTTATAGTGACATGACACAATTAAAATATATAATCAGTTGCTAGTGTAAAAAAAACTTTACACTGACAGTGTATAGTTGATTAATTTTTTTTCTCTATATATATATATATAATAAGCGATCCGTTTATTTCGAGAGTAACTCTATTTAGACTTACTCTGTTCAATAACTTATACTTTATATCAAATTTTAACGATCTAACCATTGAATTTAAAGTTTTTGATGCATAGATCAAGTTTGTGAATTTTCAGAAAGTTTAAAAATTATTTAATATTTCATTTCATTAATTTAAATTGACGGATAATCATAAAATTATTTTATATATTGATTTGAATTAATGAAACGAAATATCAAATGATCTTTAAATATTTTAAGAATTTACAGATTTAATCTATGTATTAAAAATTTTAAATTCAACAATTAAATTATTAAAATTTGATGTAAAACATGAATTAAAGATAAAAATTATTTTTTTCCTACTACTTTCAAATTCTGGCTCTCTTCCCATTGACTTTGGTCTTTGGCAATAACATTTCCTTTTTTTTTTTCTATTGCTTATTTTGGCAATCCTTTTTACTTTTTTGATCAAATAACAATCTTGACAAGTATACCAATCACAACAAGTATAACATTTTATAGGAAGAAAAATTATTGAGATTTTGTAAATGTTTTTCATCATTATATAGATTGATTAAATATCTTTTAGTTATTATAAATAATTATCCAATAATATTTGTTTGGATATTGTACTGCATATTAAATTTATGAATAGTTTTTTTTATTTGTAAAAATCAAACTCTGCATTAAAAGACTTTACAATACTTATACGTCTTATTCAATCAATTGAACTATATTCTTGATACATTTATAAATAGTTTAACTGTAGTTATCATAAATTAGAGATAACTATATTTAGTTTGTACAACAATGACTATATTGTAAGTTATTTTTTACAGGATTTCTTGGAGAGGGAAGCTAAAAAGATAAAAATGTAATTGTATAGGAGTAAAGTTTTGATCTATATTGCTTTAAGAGATCTTCGACAAGTGTGTAAACATCTCTTTTCTCAAAATGTTCACAGTACATTTTGTTTTTTATTTGGATATTTTTATTTATTTATTTTAAATGTATTTCTTTTTGGTGTTCTAGAAAACAAAAGTGTATTAAAATGTATATTTAAATTTATTATTAAAAATATTAAAAGGATTTTTTTTTGTAAATATCATTAATTTTTGAATTAAGTATTCGAGTAAATGTAATATATATATATATATATATAAATAATGAAACGAATTATAAAATAATTTTTAATTTTTTTAAAAAATTTACAAATTTAATTTATGTATTAAAAATTTTAAATTCAAGAATTGTTAAAATTTGATGTAAAACAGTTATTAAATAAAATAAGTCTAGATAAATTTATTTATAAAGTAAATAGATCCCTCCTCATATATATATATATGAAACACGATATGCAAAATGTACTAGAGCAACTAATCTAGGCCTAATAATAATAAAAAATTATAAGAATCCTATCATGTTATTCACAATGTTTTTTCTTTTACGTTTTTTGAAAGAGGGGAGAAATTTGTGAGAAATGGAAAAAAAAAATAAGTGAAAGTTGATTTGACATAAAATAATGTGAAATTTGTAGTTATTTGATCTTTTAAAATTGTATTTTACATAGTTAAATGTTTATGAAAAAATATATTATTTGAACAATACATTTTTATCATTTAATAGTTAACTATTTAAATAATAGCGTAAGGGTGGAAAATTTCACACAAATCCATTCATAGACTCTACTATAATTTCCTCATAAATCCACTTAAATTGTCTACACCAAACACTCATGTTTTTTTGAATTCTTTAATAATCTTTTTTTTCTTCTTCTATTTCCTACTAAATCACATCTCCCCAAACATATCATTATGAAAGATTTGTGTTGTTTAACATCAATATAATAAAGTTAATGCATGTTTAAACACATGTTCAAAACTTGAATTAGACCATAAAATTACGTCTATGAGATAAAAGTTACTTATGATAGTTTACATTTGAAAGGTATGAATATAATAATAACATTAATATATTCCGATAACTAGAGTAACTTGTGAGAATTGCAGGCAGCAATAGCATGTATATTAAGAATGGGCATCGTTGGTTGTGACAACAGAAAGGAAGTATATATAGAGTGGCATGGGAATGGAAGAGAAGTGGATGCATTAGATACAAGTTACAAGAGAATTATTGTACAATTATTTGAATTGCCGAAGCATTATAGAATATATATCATATATGACTAAGATCTAAGATCTAAGATCTCATCCTGTTGATCTGGTTCAGCGCAGGCTGCAGGATGTTGTAGAGAACCCAGGCAATAGCCGGCGTCACCACAAACAGCAGAAGCTGACCTCTGTTGTCGTTAGTCGCCTCAGCGATTTCAGAGGCCAACGCATGCGGCGCCGCGACCAGGCCCAGCAGGCCGCCGAGGCCCAGCCCAACGATGAGGCCCTTGCTGTTGCGCATGCCGTTCAGCTGGTTCAGGGCCGGCTGCAGAATGTTGAAGAGCACCCACGCGATGGCCGGGATTATGGGCAGCAGCAGCGCCAGCCCGCGGTTGTCCTCGCCCTCCGCTATGGCGGCTATTTGTTGGGCGGCCAAGGCGCCCTCGCAGCTTCCCAGAGCCGAGAAAACCGCTCCGGCGATTGCTGTGGAGGTGGATAGCTTTGGGAGTGGGAGGGTGGTGGGTTTTGATGGTATGAGCTTAGGGTTAGGGTTAGGGTTAGGGAGCTTGGTGTTGAGGCACTTTGCGTTGATTGTAGCCATGGCTGATATTGTCGCTGCCATTGATGATGGGGAACGTGGCTTTCAGTAAGGACTAGAAATTTAGCGTTGCTGCCCAATGGGACTCCGCTTTCTAGATTCTTCTCTTATCCCAAACCTGGGATGGCAGACATTTCCACCTCATATTTTTCCCTTTCTTATCGCTTCCACCTCATTTTCTTCTCTTTCTACCATCACCCAATAAAACGACACGTCGTTTAAGCGAGAAAAAAAAAAGTAGAGTGACGAAAATGAAAAAGAAAAATGAAAACTGTACCGTCCAGGTCGCCTTTCGACCTGGTTTCTCATTCGGAAATAAGGCGAGTAAAACCACCTTCTCAGCATTAACCCGACTGGGGTCCAGTACAGACCTAGTCGGTCATAGCCCGACTTGACCCGTTAGACTCGGTTTCCCTTACCTACAAGGGAGCTACTCGGCACTTATCCTGCTGGACCCTTAGTATGGGCCCAGTCGGTCGAATTACGATTATGCTTGTTCCTGCTAATCCCGCGTCATCGTGATAAGAACGGTTAGGGAAATTTCTCGATCCTCGGGGCCCAAGAGGCCCATGAACGACGTACTATAAAACTCAAAACCCTAGGATTAAGAAGACAGATTACACTATTGAATGCTCTGGTTGTGAGGCACGATCTAGGAAAAAACCCTAGTCCACCCTTTGGCCGGAACATTTTAAACGACAACCCCGTCTTCTCGTCAGTGTTATGGAAATTTATTGGTTTTGAGATTTGACTGAGAAATCCGGGTTTTACGCATTGATTTCGGATCTTTGATATTTCTTTGATATTTCATACGTATACCTTAATTTTAATTATAAAAGAATTAGAAAGTGTTTCAGTGGAGCTTAGGGGTACTAAAAAGGGTGTGGTGAAAATGTACATATGTTGTCTGATACAACATATATTAGCACTTCTTTATCTATTATTAATTGTCCCTAAAATCTTTATGTGAGAGATACAGAGGAGTCGCAACGGATTAATTAGAGAGTTAGTGTTGAGTTGTTGTTTTCCTATATTTGGGTTGCTTGATTGGATCACGTACGGAACTTATTATTATTAGAGAGTTAGTGTTGAGTTGTTGTTTTCCTATATACATTGTATTTTTCCGCAATATATATATATATATATATATATATATATATTAAAATTATTAATTTTTAATGGGAGAAACTAAAATCGTATTGTTATGATATTCTTTATTAATTTTATTAAAAAATATAATAATTTTGAAAAATATTTTTTTATGGTAAAAATTTTAAAATTACTTATTTT